CCCTGTCGGTGTTGGGGAGATATTTAAAGGTTTGTGAGGGGGAGCAGTAACATCAGATTTGAGCTTTGGAATCATTAATCAGATAGATTAGTCAAGTAAATTAATCTGGTAGATTAATCTGGTAATCACACGTCATGCTGATTGAAGGAAACAGAACAGGGTCAGATAAACTGGAAGAGATCGCCAAGGTGGAGAATAGAGAAGGTAGAAGAGGCCCACAAACAGCTTATCCTGCTTTGGTCACTTCTTTCCCACAGATCAGTAGTTTTCTTGGTCAGTGTAAAAACTCTTATACAATTCAGCGATGGGTCTAGGGGTCCCAGGAGCATTTTCCCATGTCAATAATTAGTTTCCCCTATTCTCCATTTGAATTGAAATGTTAACTGTAGAGGCATCTGGGTGGTTCAGTGGGTTAAGCCTCTGCCTACGGCACAGGTCATGATCACAGGGTCCTGGGATCGAGCCCCGCATCAGGCTCTCTGCTCAACAGGGAGCCTGCTTCCCTCTCTCTCGCTCTGCCTGCCTCTCTGCCTACTTACAATCTCTGTCTGTCAAATAAACAAATAAAATCTTCAAAAAAAAAAAAAAAAGGTTAACTGTAAAATATTTTGTTCCTTTATTTCTTGGTGAGCTTTAGCCTACATCCTGTTCCTCTCACTGAAACAAATAGTTCCCTGTAGAAATGTTCCATTATCCATGCTTTCTCTTCTGGCATAGTTGTGACAAGTTCACATACTACTCCAGCAAGACCTTAGTACTCCACTCCTCTCATCCTCTTCTTGTGTACTTTAAGATGCTTTAAGTAGAGCTCTGTTTATTTTCTCACCTTGAGATTCTGTATATAACCCTCACTTGCTTTTCTTTGATTTTTATCCAGTTCTCATTATTACTTTTCTATTCACACTGTATTTGAATTATCCTGCACTTGGGTCTCTGTTCTGTTATTTCAGGCCTTTGTCTTCCCTTCTTCCTGAAAGAGCTTTTGCTATTATCACTTCTTAAGTGTATCACACTATTTTTTATAAAATATTTTAGACATACACAGGGAAAAAATGTATATTTGCTCCCCCTTTTCATGTCAAGATTACTTCCATTTCTTTATATTACAAAAAATAAGATTCTATTAAAGGACGGTCTCGTCTCCTTTGCAGCATACCCATTTTGTTCTTTCTTGCCCTTCTTCCCAACCAAGTCTCTTCGGACTCACTTTCCTCTGTTAAGATGTTTCAAGTTCTTAGCATGCAGAGCTTCATCATAAGTACCCTTCAATCACTCTCCTCCTAAACTGATTGTAAACACTCGGCTTCACATATTATTTTTGGTTACCTCCACTATTACCTTTCCTAAATGTATCTGAAATCCCCTCTCCACACCATTCATCTCAGATATGGAAAAAAACCCTGCATCCTTAAGTAGTTTTTCCTTTCACACTTCTCTCGTGGAGTATATACTTTCACAGATCGGGCCTTTACCTTTCTCAGTTTATATCAATTCCATCATCACTTATCTTTCCCCACACTCTAGAACGCACAGACCTTGCAAACAACTAAACTGCACATTAAATATCTGTGTGCGTCTCATTGTCCTCCTGTTGACTTCTGTGAAAAGCCCTTCACAAATAATATATTCCCCTGTCTGATTTCAGTTTGTTTATGGTATCTCCACTGAATAAAATGATGCTTCTTTCCAAGTCCAGCATAAGCCTCTTGATTCCTCGGTTTTTGTAGGAATATCATCTACTGTCACCTGAGTCCTGGCACCATTTTCTTTCACCTTCCCAACAGCCCCACATGGTAGATGCTGGTAACCCTGATTTACAAATGGGTGTTTTCAGTACACAAAGAGTCACTTAGAAGAGAGGGGATGAGCAGGGTCTGATAACGTCCAGAACTGGAATTAGTGAATTAAAAAAGGTGAGGAGTTTGCCTAAGCTCCCTGTGCTGGTAAGGTCAGAATTGGTTGGTATTAAACCCAGTTCTATCAGAACCAGCTTTGAGAGTATGAGCCTGAGTGGGATTAACAGGGAGTCAGACTAGGGTGAATAAGAACTTTCTGGAAGACAAGTCAGTTGCAGGCCACGTGAAAGCTCTGCTTTGGTAACAGGATCAAAGGCACTGGAATCTACTATTGCTTAAATTTCTGAAGTCAAGGAGAAACTAGTGTCTTTGTGGATTGGTTTCATTTTCCCTGAAATGCGGGGTTTTGGCTCAGCTCCAGCATATCTGCGTATGTTGGTACATTAAGAAAAAAAATCTGGTCACACTTTTACCCTTTAAAATTGCAAAAATGTCACCTCTGACTACTTGTCATGTATGGTAAGTAACACTCATTTCAGAAGCACAACTTTTCCCTCAACACCATTTGCCTTCTGTACCTTCTATAGAATGAAAGTTAAAGTATAACCCAAATAATAACCCTGCAATTACTACAGAAAAAAGTACCAGCTATGCTAAAATGAAACTGGGTATTTTTCACTTGGTATTATTATAGAATATATGTGTAGAATATAAAAATAATAATTTGCACTCATCCAACTTCTTTCATTCTGTGTCTCAAATCCCTGAGTATAAGTGGTTTCACTACGTTTACCAAACCAATTTAACTCTAGCATGTTCTTGAACTCTCGTTCCAAATCCAGTGAGGTTTTCCTGTCACAAACGCTGAGCATTATCATCTGAAATTCTGAGTATTCTGCAGATACCTCTGACCTTCTGCAGATAAAACTCATTTACTTAATCATTTAGTTATGTACTAAAATCAACAAAACCACCACCAAAAGAAAAGAAAAACATTACTATGTATATATAATTAAATCTAGACACACATTCACAGACATACGTACACAATAACTGAGTTTATGTATAATTGGATTGAAATGAAAACAGAAAAATGGGAACAAATATGTAGATCTATGGAAACAAAATCCATTGGTTTCTCAAACTCCATTCAGTCAGCAGATGCCACTCAAATATTAATCTAGGACCCATCACATTCTAGGGACCATGGAGGATACAAAGATAAATTACTTATAGCAAATAAACAAATGCTGAAGTCATTCTACCATAAGGTAGAGTATGGTAAGTTACATGAAGATGAGGGCAGTGTATGTATTGTTTGGCTCTGTATCCCCAGTGCTAATATTGCAAACTGGCGTACAATGATGCCAATATGTATTTGATAAATATATAATGAAAGAATAATGCCCTTACGTTCTCTAGAAGCTCAAAGAAAGGTGCAATTACTTCTATCTGGCATGACCCAGAAAGTCTTCCTAAAGGACAACAAAGTAATCCAAGTCTTAAGGGCTAGGGTAATGGTTAAAAGCGAGAATAACATGCTAGGCAGAGACCAATACAAAGACAGAGAGGCAGGAGAGTACAAGACAGTCATTAGGAATAAGCAGATCATTCAGTTCGGCAGTCCAGCCCAGGAAATCCACAAGAAGTTATAGACAACACTGAACGGTTAGATTGAAGTCAGACTGCTAAAATCCAGAACTGCCAAGTTAAGGACTCCAGATTTACTCTTGAAAGAAGCTCTAAATATGTGAATTTAGATACTTATACAACAGCTTTGCTACTTGCCAACTAGTCATTATTCTTGACCCTGACGCTGAAGCTGTCAAGGGGAGTCTTCAGAAGTAGTTCTGAATTATATTACCAGGTGCTCTCTAAGAAAGTCCTCCAGGAAGAAGTCGGCAAAACCCAGTGGCCCCAAAAGAGAAGATGAAGACTGAGGAAGTGGCACAGACGTTCCTAAAAATAACTAATCTTGGACAGTTTTATCAGTTCCAAGTCTGCTACTAGACACTTGTAATATTTAATGTGGTACTTTGAACACAGATTACTTTAGCTCTAGTCTGCAAAGACCTAACTTAATATACAAGTCTTGAAAGGTGAAAAGGACTCCAAGCCTCTTTAGAGAGCTCTAATGCACCATGAAATATAGTCTCTGTCTAGTGCGAGATGGATTCTCAGAGCAAAATGGCATAGAGTAGGGATCCTGGAAACACAAAGTTGTTCCATGCAGTCACTACAAGCACAAATGACCATGAACTGTAGAGAAATAAAGGTACAAAATACATGCCTTAAGTAACTTATAATCAAGGTGAAAAAAAAGTACTCTTAAGTCCTAGGATATTTGTGTTACTTAGTTTTGGTTTCTCCACTACCTCATGAATTTAATATTACTATTTCCCTTTTACAATTGAGAAAATTAGGGTAAAAATTTTTAATTAATTAATTAATTAATTAATTAATTAATTTAATTAATAAACAAGTAGCAGAGCTTGAATCCAAACCCAATTTTTTGTAACTCCAGAGTCTATACTCTTTCTCTTGAGTCATATGGCTTTAGGGCCTAGTTTAGTATATGGGAAACACTATAATATATTAGCTAAAAGCAGGATCCTTAGCGTATGACTGCCTAGATTCTAGATCTTGGCTCTACTTTTTGTTAGCTCTGTGACGTTGTACCTGTTGCTAACTTTTTTGTGCCTCATTTTTCTCAACTGTAAAACGGGGGAATCAGTATTAGAATAACTTTCCCTACCTTACAGGGTTGTTTTGAAATTTAAATAAAATGATAAGTGCTTTGAGGAATGGCAGGCCCATAGAAAATGCTCATTTAAGTTAGTTATTATTGGTCAGTGAGACTTTGTGACCACAGCAATGATTTACACAATTCAATCCACATCTTGATTTGAATGAACAGCCAAACTCTTCCTTCAACTAAAAAAAAAAAATTTCTAAAAAATACCATGCAGTAGATTATTTGAACACAAGGTACACACACACACACACATACACACACATAGACACACGTGTAACATGATAGCAAAAGTCACGAGAGCTACATTGCTTTTTGGAAAGACAACTCTAGTTCTAGTAACTTTCCTGACACTGATAAATTTGACTGATTAGCATTTTCATTATCTGTTTCTTTCCTGCTGGTAAAAACATCCAGATGAGGCGATACATTTCTTTCGTTTACAAACTTACCCAAGAGTGTGGGAGATCCATATCTGTATAAGAAGACTTCAGTTGTGGGTGGTGAGGGCAGCGGAAACAGTTGTTCCAGGGTCCAATTTGGGCAATTGGGAAATCAACACATGTCCAGAGAGGGTTTTCTGGAAAAGGCTTCCAGCTGTTCCACATCTGAACTTCACCTTCTTTGGGGGATAACATTTCTGCTGAATTGCATCCAGTTGAAGTGCTGGATCTAGCCCGTGATGCAGAAATAGAATCCCATCCAATCTCCATTTCTTCCTTTCCTCTTGTGCTAACATTACTAATTTTCTTTTCTTGGGATCTGGCTAATTTCATACAGGAAATCAATGTTTCATCTTCATCTTCTGAATGACAAAGAAAAATAAGAATCTTCTGAATGACAAAGAAAAATAATAATTTTGCACAGGTAGAAATTATGACTATTATATTTCCTTTTATATAGTAGAAATGAACACCACAGGATAAAACAGGGAATCATTTAATTTCACAAAATAATTTACAATTGCAATTCTTTTTTTTTAGTAAAATTTTTTAAAGATTTTATTTATTTTTTTGACACAGAGAGAGATCGCAAGTAGGCAGAGAAGCAGGCAGAGAGAGAGGGGGAAGCAGGCTCCCCGCTGAGCAGAGAGCCCCATGTGGGGCTTGATCCCAGGACTCTGAGATCATGACCTGAGCTGAAGGCAGAGGCTTAACCCACTGAGCCACCCAGGCACCCCTACAATTGCAATTCTTTAAAGAGTAATCTTTTGTATAGTAAATGATTTGTTTTGTAAAGACAGGTTTACCTCAAATATTTTGAAGCTGTATATAATGATTAAATTCAGTTTGACTACAATGACCAAAAGTCACATGCAAATAGTATACTGAAAAATATTTAAGAAAAATTACAAATTAAAAAAATCCCTATATATATTAACATAATATGGTGTGCTTATATTCTTACATATTTTTTAATTTTTTGAGGTAATGTGTATAGAGAGCAGCATAAGGAAGTAAATGAAATATTCTCCTTTCATAAGAAAATGAAATCTCAGTGGACATGGGCTGAAATCCTATTGGCATTCTAATTTTTTTCTAATATCAATCTATAAAGAGATTTATGCATACAGTGTTTGTCACAGTGAAATAATTTGGAAAAGGAAGATCAGGACTGAGAAATCACCAAAAAGAAGGTGTATCTTAAATACTATAAAGTTGATTAGGGAGACCTATATTTACATGTGGTGAAGGGTCTGATGAAATTTCTAGTAATATATAAAGCAGTTACAGAAAATAGAAATATGTATTACCCATAGTAAGTTGTACCATATCATTTAATCTCTTTCAGTTCGAATGTTTAACTGGTATAAACCAAAGATTATGATCAATTACATATAATTGTAAATAAATAAATGAATATCTATGGGGTAAATACCCAGTAGTGCAATTGCTGGGTCATAGGAAAGCTCTATTTTTAATTTTTTGAGGAATCTCCACACTGTTCTCCAAAGTGGCTGCACCAACTTGCATTCCCACCAACAGTGGAAGAGGGTTCCCCTTTCTCCAACACTTGTTGTTTACTGTCTTGTTAATTTTTGCCATTCTAACTGGTATACGGTGGTATCTCAATGTGGTTTTAATTTCCCTGATGGAGCCATCAGAAAGGATGAATACTCAACTTTTCCATCAACATGGATGGGACTGGAGGAGATTATGCTGAGTGAAATAAGTCAAGCAGAGAGAGTCAATTACATGGTTTCACTTATTTGTGCAACATAAGGAATAACAGGGAGGACATTAGGAGAAGGAAAGGAAAAGTGAATTGGGGGAAATCGGAGGGGGAGACAAACCATGGGAGACTGTGGACTCTGAGAAACAAACTGATGGTTTTGGAAGGGAGGGGTATAGGGGGATGAGTGAGCCTGGTGGTAGGTATTAAGGAGGGCACATTTTTCATGGAGCACTGAGTGTCATACGTAAACAATGAGTCATGAAACACTACATCAAAAACTAATGATAGGGCGCCTGGGTGACTCAGTGGGTTAAAGCCTCTGCCTTCGGCTCAGGTCATGGTCTCAGGGTCCTGGGATTGAGCCCTGCATCGGGCTCTCTGCTCAGCAGGGAGCCTGCTTCCCCCTCCCGCCGCCCCCCCCCCCCTGCCTACTTGTGATTTCTCTGTCAAATAAATAAATAAATAAGTCTTTAAAAAACCAACCAAACAAAAACAAACTAATGATGTATTGTATGATGACTAACATAATAAAAAAAATAAATGAACATCTGAGTTGTATGGTGTGCCATTTTGCCACACTCAAGTCAAAATTGAAAGATACCATTTCCTTTGGCCAAAGAATGGGGACAGTGGATGGTGCTGACCCTTACTATCTCTTTCTCCCACTCTGTCCCGGAGTCTGGTCTTGAAGGGAAGGAGATACGAGGTATATAAAGGAAAATTCAGGAGTAGGGTAAGGATATCTGTTTCACAAATAAATTGGTAATTTAAAAATCCTCAACTTTTAATGATTATTTTATGGCCTTATCAAAATGGCCTTCATTTCCTATACGCTACCCCAGTTCTTTCTCGAAGAATGTTTAGCAGCATGCTGACTGCTTACTTACGGAGATTTACGAAGGCAGGTTTCGTCTCCTTCAGACTGGGGGCCCTGGCTTTCTTGGCCCAGACCAGTTTCTGTAGTCTCTTTAACGTCCCCGTTGATTCCGCTAGGTCACCGCCTGATTTTACGGCCTAGCACAAACACAGCTCAAGGTAAGGACAAATTCTTCTTCACAAAAGATTAAATATAAAATGTGTCAAGATCATAAATGTGGGAAAATTCATAATGTGACCTTGAAACCTGTAGCTTGGGACAATTTTAAGCAATAATTTGAAAGCAGACCATTTTTTGGTCTCAAACTTGTAAAATATATTACAACTGACCAGTCATACTAAAGCCTGGCATTGCTTTACCTTTTTTTTTTTTTTTTTAAACTTCAACATGCTGCAAAATGGATTGAATCTGGAGCCATCTAAAAATGACTCGCCCGTGCTCAGTGTGAAATAGTGGAAAGGAACAAGGTCTTTGCAGGGTAACAAAGAAGGAACGAGAGGTTTAAAGTTGCTTCTTGACAGTGTGGGAACAGACTGATGGAGGCACACACAAAAAAGCAGAAGTCAGAGTTTTTCGTTTTTCCTTGTGGAAATTTCTGATAAAACAGCATTTTATTTCAAGTACGAAATGTTTTCAAATAAAATCCTTTTCTTTATCTAGCCTTTTGCATTTTAGAAGATAGACACTGAGTAAAACAAACAAACAAACAAACAAACAGCCAGGGCATTCTATATTATGCTTTAGTACCTAAGTGTCACTGGTTTATTATAGCAAAAAGAATGGATAGAAGAATTAATACTGCTTAATGACTCAGATTTCTCTGAAAGATACGGAAACACTTCCCACTAGCTTAAGTTGGCAAATTTGTATTTATACTGCTTTTACTTACTCTATTTAGGATAGCTTACTCTTAACAATTTCAAAATATTATGGAAATTAATACTTTATGTGTTAAATTGAATACTAATCGGCAAAATAGTTGTATTCTGTGCTGTTAACTATATACAAGGTAATACATAGAGGAATACTTTTCATCCAGAAATCTATGGACGCCGACGTATTTCTTCCTGTGGTTTTGCCTCATTCTTTCCATTGAAGAGCTGAGAAATGACATCTGAATAAATACCGCAATTTTCAAAAGGTGAATGACCTGCTTCCTCATTACTGTTTGAATGAGATACACTGATAATAGTGCTCTCCAATCCTTTGAGAGAAACTAAGCCCAAAGAAATGTTTGCGAGAGAGGATCTCGGGCACACAAACATTTCCAATCATTATTTTCAGCACTTATTCTTGGTCTTGAAGAATGACTTTGAGCAACCAGTATAAACTTGATGCTCTGTCTCTGCATAATAGCACCTAAATAGGAAATGTGACGTTTTGTCAGAACAAGCCAGACCTGTTTGCATTAAATAAATGGGAAAATATTGAAATCATTTTAATCTTCCATGGAGGCTTGTGATGAGATTTCCTTAGATATGCAAAAATCTTCCCTCTCTTTCCAAAGGTCATGCTCAGCTCCATACAATTTCTATGGCTATTTATTTTTGTATTATTTTCTTCTGTATTCCTTTTCAGTATTTTCTGACTTACTTGGCTTCCCAGGCGCTGTAACTCATGACGAGTCATTTTCTCATCTTGAGGCCCTTCCAGAAATAATAAGCTGACACTGCACAACCATTGAGCATGATAATTTTCTTTGTTGTACTTCTTTCATATGGCAACCTCCTCCTATCACAGCCGATGCTTAATTGCTCCGCTGAAACACTGGCATCAGAAATTGCCTTCTCCTTCCCCCTTCTTTGTGAAAATGACTTTCACTTGATACGGGGAAAGGTGTTACAGACCAGGATAACTGAATTTCATATTAATGATTTGCCCCTAGGAGGAATGAAAGCATTTGTATAATATCTAAATTCATATAAGTGAGAGCTCATGGCCCAGAGGTGTTAAAACAAACTGACCTCTCATTATTTTGTTCAAACTGTATTATAGTCTTTTCAAAGCAGAGTCTCGTTAACTATTGTATCTTTAATCACTCACAGATCTTTGAGTTAATAGAGATCAATCTATTGCATTTTATTCACTTTTGAATCCCATATATCTAGGATAGTACCTGGCTTGGTAAGTCTTTGCTGAATGTAAATACACTCTTCAGTTCGTACATATGTTTTATCCACCAAATGGCTTATCCATAGTAAATGTTTTACACTAGACTATTTTCTTTTTTTTTCTTTTATTATTATTTTAAAAGATATTCTTCCATAGTAAATGTTTTACACTAGACTATTTTCTTTTATTATTATTTTAAAAGATAATATTTATTTATTTGATAGAGATAGCAAGAGAGGGAACACAAGCATGGGGGAGTTAGAGAGGGAGAAGCAGGCTCCCCACTGAGCGGGGAGCCCGATGTGGGTCTGGATCTCAGGACCCTGGGATCATGAGCTGAGCCGAAGGTGGCTGCTTAACCAACTGAGCCACCCGGGTGCCCTAGGCGGACTACATTCTAATAGCAAAGTATTCCCAAAAAACCTTCTCTTGCTTTTAAGGTAGTACATACCTGAGGGATGAAAGTTAGAGTAAATATTATAATAAGAGACAATAGTATCATTAAGATGATCTAATTAAAAAGGAACCCTTTAAAAAATAAAAATAAATCCTTTAGAATATTTTCAAAATTATAATGTTATTCACCAGAGTCTCCTAATCTGTTACCTGTGTATTTGTGCTGAATTTGATTAAAACTTATAATAATGTACTTTTAAATTTCTAGATGTTTTCTAAGAAGACTGACTCATAAATTGAACTCACCATTCAACCAATCAACAAACTTTTATTGAACACCCCACTGTATGCCAGGCACTATCACAACTCTTTTTCTTTCTTTCTTTCTTTTTTTAACTATCACACATTCTGAGGGTATGGCATTGAACAAGTAAAATGAGACCCCTGCTTTCATATGGTCTACATTCCAGAGGGAAGTAGCATACCATAAACATAATCACATACAGAAGCAAGAAAATTTGACATCTGCTACTCTAACAATTAGCAGCATGACTGAGTGTGGATGGGGGAAGTTACTAATTTACACTGGGTGATGAGGGGTGGTTTCACTAAGAATACAGAAGCCCAGGCCTGAATTATAAGGAACCGGATGTGAAGATTTGGTGTTTGCTTTGAATTCAGTGCATGGTCAGAGAGGCCATTTCTGGCCCTAAGATTTGAACGACAGAGAAGGGTGAGCTCATCGAAAAGGAGGGGGGAGAGAACTCCTGTGAGGCTCTGTCTTGTGCAGAGGTTTTAAAGCTGAGGGTCCTGGAAGAGTTCTCAGCATTGGCCCAAGGAAGAGAACAGAGGGAAGAACGTGGAAAATCAGCCAGAGACCTGAAGAGGGGCCTCCAAGGAGGCTTTTGTAGAACAGGTTGAGGAACATGTATTTGTTCTAATCAGGGGAGTGACACACTTGGTTTCCATTTTATTCTTCTTGCCTTTTTATTGAATTTTGATCATCTTACTTTTTAAAGGACTTTTCCCCCAAAACATTCAAATATGCTCTGATCTTATCTATCTTTAATTCACCATATTTTATTTACCACTCTTTCTTCTCCCTTTCCCAGGCATACTTCTCGGAAAAGTTCACTCTGTGTGCTTCCCTTAATTCCTCTAATTCTCATCCTTTCAACTCCGTTCACACACCTGTCAATCAGCTTTTGCTTCTACTATTCCATTCAGATTGCTTTTGTTTTCCAATGAACCATTTTCAAACTCCATTACTGCTTGATATGCAGCAAGATTGACCATGATGGTCTGCAGGAAGCACTTTATTTTCTTGGCTTCTCTGGTTTTCCTTTCACCCTTTCTGGCCATTCTTTCTCTAACTCCTATATGCTGATAACTCCTTTTCTCTCAAGACCAAATGCTTCAATTCCTTTATAACTAACTCTGGGCCCTCATCTAATATTACCATCATTCTTTTCTCACCCACACATACGCATACGCGTGCGCACACACACTCCATTTAATGCCACTTACATGCTGATAGATGCCCAATTTATTTCTCCAAGGTTTTCATCAGAGCTTCAGTCTCAAATATGCAACTGTCTACTTAAAACGACTTCTGGGCACTATCAAGACTGACCTCTACACCCCCAAACATGATTCTCTTCTGGACTTCTTCCACTCGGTGAATGCCATCTTCATCTACCCTCATGCACTTTCTATAAATCAGATTATCACCTTTGTCACATATCTCTCCATTACTAAATTTGGTCTAGTCCCATTACTGAGTTTGGTCTGTCCTCCAGAATATATCTTGAACCTGTTTCTTTTTCACCATTTCCCTTATTACCACCATAGTTTAATCTTCTCTCATTGAAACTACTGCCAAATCTCTAAATGGTTTTCTTTTTACTTTTGCCTTTCTTTGGTTGATTCATAATATATGCTAGAGTTCTCTTTGAAAGATGTAAATCTGATGATATTACTATCTTGCTTAAATTACTGCAAAATTTCCCAGTGTTCTTTAAATAAAATCCCAAATACTTGATGGGTTCTATAACACCTATGTCTCTAGACTCTCTTCATACTCACAAGGTGATGACTTTTAGATTACCAATCTCCAGAGCACTTTTTTTCCTCAGTGTTTTTATGTATGCTGCTCTCTCTGCCTGGAATGCTTATTCTCATTCTCCTAAACTGGTTAATTCTTACTCACCCCTGGGGCTTCATCCTAAATGTCATTTTTTCGGAGAGCTCTTTCCTGACTCCCAAGTCCAAATTAGGTTCCCATTTTTTACCTTCTTGGCTTTCACCACAACTTCAGATTTATATTTTTGTGTCATTGGTTAAACATCTTCCTTCCCCATAGACTCTAAACTGAAGGAAGGCAGAAACCATAACCTTCCATATAGGTACAATGCAGTATCCTTAGTACCTATAATATTCTTGACAGTTGGTACTCTATATTAATTAGAAGTAATGATACAAAATGTATTAGAAGTAATGACACAAAATGATTAGTTAGAAGTAATGATACAAAATGAATGAATGAATGAATGAGGACTTGATCTGGTAATGATGAGAAAAACAGAATTAGGGATTGAGAATGAGAGGAGATAAAATTATTGTGTTTAGT